TTGGAAGCTCTTCTTATGTGTTCCTACAACACTGCATAGTTTGCCTAATATAGTACTTACGACTTTATTATAATTGTTTGCTCTCCCCTCATCAACTTCTCACCTGCTGTGGGGCCTATAATTACCTTATTCAGCTGTGTAATTCCAGCATGTAGTATAGAGCCTACAGCTCACTAAAAATATGTTTGGAAGATTAATGGACAGATGGATGGATGGGGACAAATTTATATTCAGTCAATATGTCTTTCAGGAACTCGCTCTCATGACCAATCACACACATCTGCTAGAGAGGTAAATGAAGGAATGAATGAGTAAATTGCTGGCTGGAAAATGTTAGATATGATGTAATTTGCCGGCTGGAAAATGTTAGGTATGATGGCTGTCGGAGAAGACGTCAGTAACTTAAAGAATATGGTGACCTGGTTTCAGGTCTCCAGAGTACTTACTTGATCTTTGACTTTGGGAATGTCCCCTTGACTTCCTTCTTTTTTTGTTTCTTCACTTGTTTCTTTGCCTGTAGAATAAATATTACATTCCTTTTTAGCCTGCTATTCACAGCTCTTGAACTTTCTCATTAATTATATTCTACTGTGAGTCTTCTACTCCAAAATTTGTCTTGCCTTTAGTCCTTGCCCGTAGGACTAAAGATCCAAGAAATAGATAGATAGAGATACAGAGATGGAGACAAAGACAAGACATAGATGGGAAGGTGGTATAGGAGAATATAATCATGATAGTGGGGTATGGCTGGAGTGCTTAAATCAGACACATGAAGCACAAATCTCAAAGGAAGGGATCGTTTACATGATTATTTACACAAAATAAATTTCTGCCAGATAAAAATAGCAAAGTCAAAGTTGAAAGATAAGACACAGTCTGGGAAAAGATATTGCCATACATATAATACAAAAGATGACTCACACTCAAGCTTGTAGGAGGCATGCAGACCTGGATGCTATCGTAGAAATTCCAGTTCCTTATTAGGAATATTAGGTGAGAAGGTGTAGATCTACAACTAATGGGCCAAGAAGGGCACATAACCCCTAGGTTACATTATCTAAGACAAGTAAGAACTTTATACAGTAGAAAAAAAAGTCAAAGTTCCAGACTTGGAGGCTGACTTCCTGGTTAGCTTTAGTTACCTCTGGTCTCTATTTCAAACTTGACACAACTAATGCCAATCTGGCTGTAGTGCTTCCTCCAAAACAAACATTCTCTCTTTCTCCCTGTCTCCCTGTCTCTCTCTCTCTCTCTCTCTCTCTCACACACACACACACACACACACACACACACAGACGCAGTAACGCATATTTTTGCTTGTTCCATTCCTTTGGCCTATCACATTTCTGCCCCTCTTCCTTGCCTGGCTACATACAGATTAGCTTTCCTGTATCTCCCTCTCCTTAGGTTGAGTCTCCTCACGTCCACTTTTTTTTTCTTTTTTTCTTGAGACAAGGTCTCACTCTGTTACCCAGGCTGGAGTGCAGTGGCATGATCTCAGCTCACTGCAACCTCCACCTCCCAGACTCGAGCAATCCTTCCACCTTAGCCTCCCAAGTAGCTGGACCACAGATGTGTGCTACCATGCCCAGCTAAATTTCTGTATTTTTGATAGAGATGGGTTTTCACCATGTTGCCCAGGCTGCCTCAAACTCCCAACTCAGCCTCCCAAAGTGTTGGGATTACACGCATGAGCCCCCTTGTCCAGCCATCAAGCCCACTTCTTAATGGAGGCACTAACATGGTTGGGCTTTGTGTCCCCACCCAAATTTCATCTTGAATTGTAACCACCGTAATCTCCATAATCCCCACGTGTTGAGGGAGAGACCTGGTAGGAAGTGACTGGATTATGGAGGTGGTCCCTTATGCTGTTCTCATGATAGTGAGTGAGCTCTCACAAGATCTGATGGGTTTATAACTGTCTGACCGTTCCTCCTTCACACTCTTGCCCTCTCTTGCTTGCCACCATGTAAGACCTGCCTCTTCCCATTCTGCCATGATTGTAAATTTCCTGAGGCCTCTCCAGCCATGCGGAACTGTGAGTTTGTTGCAGGAAGTCAGGGACCCCTAAACCGGGGGACTGGCTGAGGCCATGATAGAAGAACATAAATTGTGAAGATTTCATGGACATTTATTAGTTCCCCAAATGAATACTTTTATAATTTCTTACGGCTGTCTTTACTGCAATCTCTGAACATAAATTGTGAAGATTTCATGGACACTTATCACTTCCCCAATCAATACCCTTGTGATTTCCTATGCCTGTCTTTAATCTCTTAATCCTGTCATCTTCATAAGCTGAGGAGGATGTATGTCGCCTCAGGACCCTGTGATGATTGTGTTAACTGCACAAATTGTAGAGCATATGTGTTTGAACAAGATGAAATCTGGCCACCTTGAAAAAAGAACAGAATGACAGCAATGTTCAGGGAACAAGGGAGATAACTTTAAACTCTGACTGCCTGTGAGCCGGGTGGAACAGAGCCATATTTCTCTTCTTTCAAAAGCAAATAGGAGAACTATCCCTTAATTCTTTTTCTAAGCAAGGAACATCCCTGAGAAAGAGAATGCGTCCCTGAGGGGAGGCCTCTAAAATGGCCGCTTTGGGGACGGCTGTCTTTTATGATAGTAGACAAAGGGATGAAATAAGCCCTGGTCTCCCGTAGCACTCCCAGGCTTATTAGGACGAGGAAATTCCTGCCTAATAAAGTTTGGTCAGACCGGTTATCTGCTCTCAAACCCTGTCTCCTGATAAACATGTTATCAATGACAATGCATGCCCAAAACTTCACTAACAATTTTAATTTTGCCCCGTCCTGTGGTCCTGTGATCTCGCCCTGCCTCCATTTGCTTTGTGATATTTTATTACTTTGTGAAGTATGTGATCTCTGTGACCTACACCCTATTCGTACACTCCCTCCCCTTTTGAAAATTGCTAATAAAAAACTTGCTGGTTTTACGGCTCAGGGAGCATCACAGAATCTGCCGACATGTGATGTCTCTCCCGGACACCCAGTTTTAAAATTTCTCTCTTTTGTACTCTTTGCCTTTATTTCTCAGACCAGTCAATACTTAGGGAAATAGAAAAGAACCCATGTTGAATCAATTAAACCTCTTTCCTTTATAAATTACCCAGTCTTGGGCAGTTCTTTATAGCAGTGTGAAAATGGACTAATACAGGCACTATACCACACTGTATTATAATGCCTGCTTCCTTGTCTGTTCCCCACCTCACTCCCAGGCTGTGAGTATCTCCAAGATCAGGTCAGGCCTGGGTCCTACTTATCTCTTTATCCTGCATCTTACACAGGACCTGGCTTACTGAAGGAAGAGTCTCAATGAGTGTTAATTGAACTAACCCAACCCATGAACAAAATGCCACGGGAGCACTTCATGCAGTGGGTGAAGAAAGAAGAAGCAAGTATCAGAGATAGTTTCACAGGGTAGGTGACATTAGAGCTGGATCTTGAAAGATGAGAAGTTGGCCTGGCACAGTGGTTCGTACCTGTAATCCCAACACTTTGGGAGGCCGAAGCAGATGGATCACTTGAGGTCATGAATTCAAGACTAGGCTGTCCAACATGGCAAAATCCTTTCTCTACTACAAATATAAAAATTAGCCGGTCATGGTGGCATGTGCCTGTAGTCCCAGCTACAGAGACTACAGCTTGGGACACTGAGGCACAAGAACTGCTTGAACTTAGGAGGCAGAGGTTGCAGTGAGCCAAGATCCCACCACTGCACTCCAGCCTGGGTGACAGAGTGAGACTCTGTCTCAAAAAAAGAAAAAAAAAAAAGTGACTAGGGCAAAAGTATATCATCTCATTTTCTTTTAAATAAAAGAAAAATAAGAAGTTGTAAAAGATAAATGGCAACAAGCTACAGGGGCATCTGATTAGAGTGTCCAGGGATTGCTTCAGAGAGGTAATGAAATGTCATCTTATGTTATTGTTACATAGTGAAAATTATTTTCTTTTTAGTAATAATTTAGTTATTTACTGATAATTATTTTCTTTTCTTTCTGATCTTGGCTCACTGCAACCTCTGCCTCTCAGATTCAAGCAATTCTCCTGCCTCAGCCTCCCAAGTAGCTGGGATTACAGGCGCCCACTACCACGCCCGGCTAATTTTTGTATTTTTCATAGAGACGGGGTTTCACCATGTTGGCTATGCTGGTCTTAAACTCCTGACCTCAGGTGATCCACCCGCCTCGGCTGGGATTACAAACGTGAGCCACCATGCCCGGCCTAGATAATAATTATTTTCACATGAATTTTGGCTTCCCCAAGACAAGTTTTTATCTATTTTATTCAGGAACATATCCCTGGTGACTAGAATAGGGCCTACTACATAGTAAGCAACTCAAAAATATTTAATTATTTAGATGCTTATGGGGGATATATAGGAATTAAAAAACAATACAATGTAATAGAGCATAGTATAATACAATTCTGCTATTTGATAACTCTGTCATGGAGTAGGAGTTCCACCAGAGTAGCAACCAGGTCTATCTTGATCCCTTGTATCCATCAGTACAATATTGGTGCTCAATATATATTTGTGAAAAAAATTATTAATTAAAATGTAGACTCCTATTACATCCTAAAACCGTAAAAGCAGAATGTCAGAAGGGATATATATTGATTTTTTTTTAATGCCGGCTTGAAAACCGAGTTCAGATACACTCTATCTGGCTTTGGGTAGGTTCTTTAGTTTCCTCCTCACCTAACAGGGATGTTGTGGGACTCAGTGAGAGAGAGGATGGCTGGAAGTGCACATAGGATATTGCCTGGCAGACATTAGGCACTCAGTAAATGTGAGTTCTCCGTAACACGAAAACATTACTAACAGCTAAAATGACAGCTGCTTGAGAAAACAATCAGTAAGTGCCACAACCGGGCTAGAAAAGGATGAAGGACCGGCTCCTGCCCACTCCTTCGGAAACTCCACAACTGGGCCGGAGAAAGACTCAAACTCGGAAACTAAGTTTTCAGTCGCACCTGCCTCCGGCGTCGCTTCAGCCTCCGAGGGGTCTGCGGAGGCGAAGTCCCAGTCAGGAGGGATGCGCGCCTGCGAGCCTGCCGGGGATCTCGGAGCCGCTCCACGGTGGTCCCTGCCGCTACCTTTCCGACGCCTTAGTAACTGGCACGCGACGGCAGACACTGTAGGCTGCAACTGACGGCCAGGACGTCTAACTACAAGTCCCAGCAAGCCCCGCGGCCACGTCCTCTGACTACCTCGCGCCAGCAAGCCCCAAACTACGGATCCCGATTGACTCCGCGCGGCGCGTCACGCTGTCAGCTCCAGCCAATCGGCTTCAGACAAGTCGGAGGGGAGGGAGACGCAGAGGCGCACAACATGGCGGCGGCAGCTACACAGGGCGGGAGAAGCGGTGGTCTCGGAGGCAATAGTGGGGCTGGCGGTGGTTCCAACTGCGGGACAGGCAGTGGCCGTAGCGGCTTGTTGGAAAAGGTGAGGAGCCGGTTCTTGGGAAAAGTTGAATCCTGGGGAGGCCTGGGAGGCGGCGAACCCACCTTCCCATCCCGGTCTCCCTTATTTTCTACGGCCTTTTGAGGGGAGCCCTTGTGTGACCACTATGACAACCCTACGCACGCTTGTAGCCTGCCCTCATCACACTTCAAACCTGGACCCTCTCCTCTTTAGGACTTCTTCGCTTCTCGTAAGTGTTCTGGTCCTGGCCGCCACAGCTTTTTCGGTAATTTGGTTCTTCCTATACTTAATTGTATCCATTGCTTTTCCCCTGGGGTGCTGGGTGCACTGTTGCCAGTGCCTATTTCACAGACACGGAAAACCGAAGCCCAAGGATTCAAGAATCGATATCCCCGAAACTCCCTACCACCATCAGCCTTGCGTGCTGCTACAGATTCCAATGTGCTTCTTGTCCTTTTGCTTACTTAAGTTTTTAGGCATTTAATCATGATAGGCGAATACTTAAAATATTTGAGTATTGACTCTTCTACTGGGCTGACAAGAAGCCTTTAAGATTTTTCTTTCTTTCTATTGTTTTTCCCCGCCCTCTCCTCTCTCCCCTCTACCTCCCTGTTTGCTACCAAGTGCACTGCTGCCCGCTCACGCTTGTCCCTTTCCTTCTCTGCTCATCCAATTTTTTTTAACTGCAGTCCTAGCAACAAGGGCTTAAAAGAAAAGGAAAAAAGGAAAACTGTCCCTGGGTTGGCCCTTCTTGCTCTTTGCACAGCATCTTAGAAGAAACAGATGGATGGAGAACTTCGTCCTAGTGTTGATTTTGCCTCTAATTAGCTTTATGACCGTGAAATATGCTTGCTTTCTCTATGTCTATTTGCTCATCTGCAAAGTGAGAGATTTAGCCTTAAAATGAGGGACTTAATCCTAAATTCCCTTCCAGTTCTCTCATTGTAGGACCTTGGGCTGGTTTGATGAGAATTGTTAAGCATGGTGTCTTTAGTATAGTAAACAGGATTTTTGAATTTAATTGAAAACAGCTTTCAGACTTCCCTGTGCATAACACATGGTAGGTGCTTAAGAAATGAAAACTTGATTATGTTGAGGGGTTCAGATCCAGGTCTTTTTACTTGTCTTTTTGAGTGTCATTGGTTTTGAAAGACATGGTTCTCACACACTTCTCTTGTGAGGGGTCTCACTCCGTTGCCCAGAATGGATCTTAGCTCACTGCAGCCTTGAACTCCGAGGCTCAGGTGATCTTCCCACCCCAGCCTCCTGAGTAGCTGGGGCTGCAAATGTACACCACCACGTCTGGCTAATTTTTTTGCTTTTAACTTTTCTGTAGAGTCAGGGTCTTACTGTGTTGCCCTGGCTGGTGTCAGATTCCTGGGCCTCAAGTGATCCTCCCACCTCGGCTCCCCAAAGTGCTGGGATTACAGGCATGAGTCACCATGCACCTGGCCTCACACTCAAACCTTAAGATACAGAAACATATTCTGGAGGTTGGGATGGTAAATTGCTTCAAGACATGAGAGTATGGGGAATTGATGGTCATTTGTGTACACAAATCCTTCCCTCTTCCTGGGTAAGCGCCTAACAACCTGTGCTTACCTGACCCCCTAACTGCTCTTGCTCTTCCTTGCAGTGGGATTATCATCAGCAAAGTATGGGCATTCTGCTAAGGCAGTATGGAATACTATTATTATGGAATAGTGTTTATGGCACCATTGTGTTATTGAAAGAACCTGGATTTGGGGATCATAAGATTTCAGCTTTGAAGTATTTCTGCTTCTTGCAAACAGTATGAAGACTGGCAAATCAATTAACATTTCTTCATTTGGAATTTTAGAATCTCTGGCACCTGTATCACGGGGTTTTGGGAAGAACCAAGTAAGACAGTACACGTTAATGATCTCCATTACCTGTAGTGTGTGGTACAATGTGTGATGGTGGAGGAGTAAATCAAGAATCCTAATATCAGAGAGCACTCAGAATTGCTGAATATAGAAGATGGGGTAATTGAATCTATTTAAGGAAGTATATGGTATATTCGCGCAAGTGTGTACTTGTTAGAGAAGTTCAAATGAGAGAGAGAGAGTGATCCCTGCAAACTTATTGATAAGAGTAAGAGCCTCGGCCAGGCGCGGTGGCTCACACCTGTAATCCCAGCTCTTTGGGAGGCCAAGGCAGGCAGGTCACCTGAGGTCGGAAGTTCAAGACCAGCCAAACCAACATGGAGAAACCCTGTCTCTACTAAAAATTAGCCGAGCGTGGTGGCGCATGCCTGTAATCCCAGCTACTCGGGAGGCTGAGGCAGGAGAATTGCTGGAACTTGGGAGGTGGAGGTTGCAGTGAGCCAAGATCATGCCATTGCACTCCAGCCTGGGCAACGAGAGGGAAATCCACCTCGGGGAAAAAAAAAAAAAAGAAGAGTAAGAGCCTCAAGGAAAGGCCTCATTCCTGAGAGTGGAACTGGCACCTTATTTGGGGAGAGAAAGGAAAGACATGCCAGGTAAAAAAAGTCTCCTTGAGTGAAGGTACACAGATATGATGGTGTTTAATGTTTCTCAGTTATTGAGTTGACTAGAAGGCTCTCTAAAGGAACTGTAGGGACAAGTAGATAGAATCCGATTAGGGAGGCCATGGATTGCTTGAAGTAGGAGAAGAAAGCTGTTGAAGGGTTTTGAGACTGTGTAAAGGGGTTTTTAGGAAAACTAGTCAGATGGTTTGGAGAGAGAGAAATTAGAAGACTTCTTAATAAGGCCATATACACAGTAGTGTATAATATATAATAAAAAGAGACATTTGAGTTTTAGTGCAGCATGTTATTAGGTTGGTGCAAAAGTAATTGCTGTTTTTGCCATTGAAAGTAATGGCAAAAACCACAATAACTTTTGCACCTACCTAATAAAAGCCACATGACCTTGGATAAGTTGTGTGATATTGCTGAATTGAAATTTCCTTATGTAAATATTGTGGGCATTCATACATGTTATAGTAAGGATCACATTGTATAGTGCTGGCAAATGTTCTTTGGGTTTTTTTGTTTGGTTTCCTCTGCCCTTTTTATTTTTATTATTTTTTTTGGTAGAGACAAGGTCTCACTGTGTTGCCTAGACTAATCTTGAACCCCTGGCCTCAAGTGATCTGCCCACCTCAGTCTCCCAAAAGTACTGAAATTACAGGCATGAGCCACCGCACCCAGCTCTGTTCCCTGTCCTTTGGAATCTACTAGAAGTAAATGTTCTTTGTGCAGGGCTGTCTGTGGTAAAAATAGAATGACAAAGTGATGAGAACCCCAACATGAGTAGCAGAAATAGATAAAAGGTCTCACAAAAGAGTGCTTGGAAGATTTATCCAATAAGTGAGGGACGGAAGAGACAAAATAGTCAAGAGCTGCTTGAGTGCTTTTTCTTGGAAAACTTGATTTTCAGCCTTACATTGAACTGTTCCCTCTCTGAATTCCTCTAGCACTTACACTGCACATGGGAATTAAACTGTCACTTAATATGACATACTATCTTGTATTATTCCACCAATTTGTATTTGCCTATTTTCCTGTGAGTGCTTCTCTATAGTGATTAACACAGGATAAGTACTTTTAGCATTGAATTTCGCACAGAAACAACTTGAGATCTGTCACCTCAGTCTTCAGAATCAGCTTTAGAGGATGGTGCCTCTAATTGTTTGAAGACTGAGGGTACTGTGGGAGAGAACTTGAGGGGAAAAATGTTATTCTCTGGAGCAGGATCTGAACTAATAGACTTTTGCTCTGTGGGAATGAGTCCATTACCTTTAATATAATTTCTTTTTTTTTTTTTTTTTTTAAGACAGAGTCTCAATTTGTCGCAGTCTCTACTCACTGCAACCCCCACCTCCCAGGTTCAAGCAATTCTCCTGCCTCAGTCTCCCGAGTAGCTGGGATTACAGGCATGTGCCTCCATGCCCAGCTAATTTTTGTATATTCAGTAGAGACAGGGTTCCACTGTGTTGGCCAGGCTGATCTCGAACTCCTGACCTCAGGTGATCCAATGGCCTTGACCTCCCAAAGTATGGGGTTTACAAGCGTGCACCACCACACCTAGCCTAATATAATTTATTTAATTTGATGTGTCTTGATTTCGGCGGGGAGGGTTTTTATTTTATTTCTGCAGCTGTAGTTTTACTTGCCATAAAGAAGTGCAATAAAGACATGCAAATATGTTCCTAGTTTTCCCTAAGCAGATGTGAATTTCTACTCTTATGAAACTGACTTTAAGAACACAGCAGTTCTTGTTTCCTGATCTTAAAAATAAGTATGCAAATATAATCCTTCCGCCTCCATCACAGAATAACTTGACTTAGATCATTGCAGTGTGTTATTTTGCCCCAAATACATCAAAGCATTTTCTTCTGCCTGGCAGTTATAAAGAAAAGCTGCTTGCTTAATTTGTTTTGGCTATTAAAGTTGATACGTGGTGTTAAACCATGCTTTCCAGAAGCTATTGTCTGGACCCTTTTAGCCTTATACCTGGATTTCTGTCTCCTGGCTAGCCTGTCAGCCTGATCTTAAAGAACAGCTTTAATCTGTTTACATCAGACTCCTTTGAGAATTAGTTAAAATTAACAGATTTTTGGACCTTTTCTTAGGCCTGAATATCTGCGTTTTTCTTCACATGTCTCTATTACCTCTGCATTTTAACAGTTACCTCCAGGTTGAGAACTACTGGCTTAAATGATTTTTTTAAGTCTCTTCTGGTTCTGACATTTTAAGGTTTTTGTTTTGTTTTGTTTTTA